CATTCCAACTGGGATTGTCTGATTCGATTACTTCAGTCGTGTGTTGGAAGGAACCATACTTCATCTTAGCATAACTGATTAAGAGAAAATGTTATATGTTAATGTTGTTTGATGTACCATCTTCAGATGTCAATCCCTGAACTCAAGCTACTCACCTGTCAGTAGGGCTAGTGGCAGGATAATCTCCATACAGATTCCAGGCTCGGACGATGGTCACCTCCAGTGTTCCTCTCCAGATGTCTTTAGGACAGCAGTTGGAAGCCAGGTATGAAGTGCTGCCACAAGAAGGTTCACTGGGTGACTTACTCACAGCATTGTCTTCTAAGTAATGCTCGATGGCAGCTTTCATCCCTGCCTTCTGTGTCTTATTTGGAATCAGCTCATATATTGGCCTAAGGTGGTATGAAACAATATTTGGGTGGTCCTTAAGGGAGTTTAGCCAATTCCTGTAGCCATAGTCATTATCTGTGAGTGAAAACTCCCCTGACCAACCATTGCCTCCTACCACCTCTGTGTAATGTTGGTGAAGACCAGAGCTGTATGAGGCATGCTGTCCTTGTTCTGTAGGACGTTGTTGCAATGCCATTGGCTACCAGATGTCGACATCCCCAGGCCTACAGAAACACCCTGTGATAAGCAGGAGTGGACCTGGAGGACAGGAGAGGAAATAAGATGCCTTTAATAGTCAGTGATTAATGGGCAGCATTTAAGTAGTGCCTTCATGCTAAGGGCAGTAAATGGTACATTACGATGCACACCAAATGAGGGAATATCTTTTGAAAGTAATATGATCTGTAACAGAAATATCACCTCTTTCTAGGCAAAAATTACCCAAAGTAGAAATAAATTCTAAATAAGACAAGGCAAGTGACATTTCGTTTAGATTTTAAATACAGCACATTCAGTACTGATAAGTAAGAATGCTTTCAGAAATAGACATGTTAACAGATCATATTTGTCAGTTAATACAATGCAAAGTGAATGAACAGAAGAATCTAAATCAAATCAATATTTGGTGTGACCACCCTTCAAGACAGCATCAATTCTTCCAGGTACACGTTTTTGAAAGAACTCGGTTGGGCCAAATGTAATCCTAGACAAACTCGATGATGTCGATTTAAGGGCTCAATCGGGACCATCCCATCACTTACAGGACTCCTTGTTCTTCTTCACAATGAAGATAGTTCTTAATGAACTTGCTTTACTGTTGCCTTCAGACAATTATTCTTGTACCATTCTCCAGCTCTTCAGTGAACAAACTGCCTTCTGGTACAGCCAAAAATTTGACTCATCAGTCCAGAGCACCTGCTGCCATTTTTCTGATTTCCTGTATTTCCATGCATAGTTCAGTTGCTTGGCCTTGTTTCCATGTCGGAGGTATGGCTTTTTGGCCTATAGTCTTCCATGAATGCCACTTCTGGCCAGACCGCTCACGTCAGTAGATGGGTGTACCAGGGTCACCCATACCAACGTGTAGCCTGCTTCTGCTGAATGACCGATTCAGAACAGGTTTGGGCTTGGGAGACCTACTGGGAAAACTAAGTTGTCTACTGTGTCCTGACTCATTGTGGTCATTAATGATCCCATGGCACTTGTCGCAAAGAGTAAGGGGTTCGCCGGTATCCTGGCAAAATTCCCAACCTGGCGTTCTCCATCTGGCCATCTAATGTTCTCCAGAGTAAATGGCTCAATGTTTCCCTCTTCCTCTCCACTTCAAGATTGGCCATTGGGTTGTTTGGGACCATTCTTGAACGGCTGGTCCACTTCAGGCTGAACATTGTTCGGTTTTTTAAGTTTAACTTTTAGTTAGTTAGTCTGTCAGACTGGGCCAAACTAATACTTTCAATATTGAGGGGGGATACAAGCGGCCCCTCCCAACTTGAACCTTTCCATCTGAGAGAGTTCAATATCAAAACGTTTTGCCGGGGTTGAACTCAGCCCAGGGTGGAGTGACAATCGCAACAGAGATGGTATGTCGAAAAGAAAGAGGAAAAAGGAACATGTGTTGAAAAACTAAGGATTAAGTTAAAAACAATTTTGGCAGCTAAATGTGCCAGATTAGTTTACTGCATTTTGGTTATTGCGTACACTGTACAGGCATGTGTGCTACATGTACCTGAGAATTGGAGAGCCCATTCAGTGAGGACAAACAGGTACGTGTAGCTGTAACTCGCCAGATTTTCCCCCCAAGGTGAACCTAAAATGAAGTACAATTTGTTGGAAAATAGGTGTTTTTATTTGTTAAATAAATAAATTTCACTGATGTCTGTGTTACAACCTCCAGGATGTAGTGTGTGCCATAGGTTTGTATGAGGTCCATGTACTCATCCCTGGTGGAGGAGCTGTAGTAACTTGGCAGTCTGGCCAAATCCTCTCTGAACTCAGAGCTGAGGTGCGGATTGCTTGATAAACGGTGACTAGATACAAAGAGACAGAACGGTAAATTATCTTAACTGAAATTATCTTAACAAACTTCAATGAAAAATCTTCTGCGGTGATACACCCTACCGGTAATGGTGGCAGGTGACCCTGTGAGTGCTGAAGAAGAAGCGGTCCTCTCTGGTTCTTGCTTTCGCAAATTTATACACAGCAGATTGTGTTCCTCCCACATCCTGGTTGGCTGACACAAACTTATCTACATTTAAGCCAGCCTGATAAAATTAATAAAACATAAAAGGTCATTAGCTGCATGATGTTCAGCCAAAATCATTATGATATAGTGTAATACCATTTAGTAATTTATTTTAGTAAAGTCCTTAATTTGAAAATACTTTTGATTGAATATAGGCCAACTGGTTCCGGTTCTGTTAGCATTACACTAATGACAATAGATTCAAAACGAAATTAATGAGCCATAAAATGCATTTTCATTTTAGTCTTTTTAGTCAGAACGTGCAAGGATGTTGATTACTGCAATGTGTTTGTTTTTCAAAACAAATTTGGGAAAAAGGTGGTACTCCAGTGGTTAAAACCCCCAACCCCCCAAAATAATCATACATCTACGCATTTAACACGTGATAATAATATTGTAAAATGTTCATTTCATCTCAACAACAGCTGTGAGATGTTTTTTACCTTCCAGTCTTTACTGTCCTGGGAGGTGTAAGAGTCAATCAATGAGCTGTGGACACAGTTTACAGGAAAGAATCATCCTTAAGGCTGTTTCACTGTTTCATTTTGCAGCTGTTTAAGTTTGTATTTGCAAATGAACACAACATAAAAATGGAATTGCTGTAATTAAGATGATAAATAAGGTCAATTTAAGATTAGGGAATCAATGGTCCAAAACTCTGAGAAAAATCTGGTCCGTAGACAATAACAATAATATGAGAGCTGAATTTGAGAAGCAACAAGATAGTTGATAAAGTTAAGCTGTCACATTTAAATAAAATCATGTTCTTTCATGGCTAACAGGTACACACAGGAATATGAAAATGGCTCATTTAACCCATTCGGTGATACAGTACTGTATAATACAATACCTAACAGAGGTGTGTAAGCTCTTGTCCAGGTCAGGATTGCATTGGCTATAAACATTCCACTCCACTACAGAAACTGGCAGCTGAAAATGAAGGAGAGAAACACTAGTTCACATAGAAAAAAAAAAAAAAAATTAAATAAGAAAATATATTTGATCAATAAACTTTGTAGTAAAAATCAATACAGAATATATAATAATATATAATAATCAGAACAAAACAAACAAAACAACATTAAAAAAAACTATTGCGACAAACAAGACACCTTCCTCATCCCTGACCTCTCAAAAATATATTTCTTTTGTATAGCTTCTATTTGATATTTTTACTCTACTCGAGATCTGAATCAAGACCCTTACACAAAGTCAGTCTGTCACAAAGTCAAGATTGATGCGAACACAACATTTTTGCAAGTTAAAACTGCCATTTCTCCGTCTAAGAACATTTTTGTATGTTGCCAGGAAGTATTTTAAGTATAATTGTTTTTTGCTTTGTGCATTATCTGTGCGGTCTAGATCACTCTGATTCTCTGGCACTGGGCTTTTGGTTATTCCCAGGGTGAGGACAAAGAACTATGGGGAGGCAGGATTTGATGTCTATGGTCTTTGCATCTCCAACAGTTAGCCAGAGGACCTGAGGGCATCAAAATCTGTAAACACTTTTAAAAGAAATCTTTGGCATACCTTATTTACTTAGCATTCTCTAAATCGGTTTTATCTTAATCTATTCTTTTTAAATCATCTACTGTGCCACACTAGTCTCTCTGTTCTACCATGTCTCTTATTTCCTAACTGATAATTTCCTTACATTACTGTTCATTTTCACTGTATTGTAGTATTTTAATCGTATTGTTGTATTGTTTATCACCTTGTTTTGCAGTTTTGCATGGGAGGTGCTTGATAAATAAAATTTTGATTGATTGATTCACTCACTTGATAAATTCTACAAGATCCATGCAATTCACTTCACAGGTAAAGTAATGCAAGTGTACAACGCTTTCTGATTCAAAATGTTTTTCCTGACTGCAACATTCTTTCTCCTTATATCTTAAATGAGATTTCCAGCAGATTTTGTGGTCTAACCTCCTTTATACTCTTTCTATATTAACAGGATCATTCATCACTTGTGAGTGTTTATTTTACAATTTCCAAACAGCATGAGTTTTTTGTTTAAATGGTTTTGTTCAAATGTAATGATAATGTTTCCTATGGCTTTTCAACTAATTCAGCACAACCCTTCCATATACATTTCCATTTTATAGAGTAATATCATTATCAGTGGTATTAAATACTTTTAAAAAATCTAGTATTAAAGACACAGGGCTGTAATTAGTAAAGTTATCTCTATCGCAGGCATGACATAATATTAGCAATTTTCATCTTACATGGAAATGTACTCATATTTGACTTTATTTACATCTTACTTTCTGCAGCTGGTTGCCTTGAAGAGGGTTGGAGCAGAGAGTACAGGTGCCACTTGGGGTGAGGAAAGTCTTCACATCAACCAGATAGGCTCCTTTACGCCGCACGGTGACCACATCAAAGCCCTCCCCCACAAGGTTGTGGCCTGGTGCGAAGGGAGCGGACTCACACTGGCTGCCATTCCCAGTCTGACAGGAGAGAACAGGGGAGTGGTACGACAGAAAGAGGAGGAGACTCAGGTAGAGAAGGGGTGGGGCGGAAAAGGAGAGCATGGCTGGAATCAAAGAGACACTGACATATTTCACAGAAAGACAGAGAGAGTAGATAAGGACAGTGTCAGGATCATTTCAGCTGATTATCAGTGAAGGTAACGAGAACTGCAAATGTTTGTAAACAGGCTCTGTGTTCATTTGTTCTGTCACCTGGTTGAGGGTTAACAAAATAAAAATGAAGAATTTAGATGACTTCAAAATTCAGTAACTGGACACGTATGACCATGTTTGATTCCAATTCTAAATGAATGCGGCCATTGAATTTTCAGGATAGAGATTGGTGTTATGGTTATTTGCATAAATTTAAAGAGCAAATAGACAATGTTTTTGCTTTAACTTATCATCATGAAGTAAATGCTGATTGCACATTGTAATGGCTATAGAAGAATGATGCCGTTCGTGTTTACATTGGTTTCCTGTTAAGCCTCGCTTTCACAGGGTGCCCTGGTAGCTCACCTGTTAGAGTATGTGACCTATGTTCTAAGGCTTAGTCCTGATTGTCCAATAAAGGCTAAATACAATTTTACAAACCTTACATCTATGGAGGATTCAAGTGTGAGAGGTTTAGGATTGACGAGAGCCAAATTTATGGCTTGTATCCCAGCTATCTGCAAATTGCACTGATCAGTATAGAATATGCTCTGCAAACTAGCAGGTCCCAGTAGTAAGGAAAACTATAGCGATGAGTACTTGCAGATGAAGATATACTTTATTTAATCCCCAGAGGGGAAACTCAATGTTTTCACTCTGTTATTATATTAGTATACAGACAGGTCTGAAAGACACACACATGCACAAACATAACCCATAGAAACACACAGAGAGATGTCAGAGTGAGGGGGCTGCCAGTCAGTAGAGCAGTTGGGGGTTCAGGAGCTTGCTTAAGGTCTCCTTCGGCAGCACCCAGGAGGTTAACTGGCACCTCTCCAGCTACCAGTCCACGCTCCACAACTCAAACTGGCGACCCTCCGGTTCCCAGCCTAATCCTTACGGACTGAGCTACTGCCCATGAGGTGGAGTGTGATAATTTTGTCTAAATTGAGGTTCCAGAACGACACACAGGTTTTGAATAATCTGCCTCAGTTTTAATCATCAATTAAAAGTGTAAGTGATTTTTCTTTTTGTAAAGTAAGTTGCTTTTTCATTATTAATGTTTCATGGCACAAAACGGTACTTGGCTTCTGTGCGTACTGGCTTACAGCTGGTGTAGGGCACTCTTACATTTTGATTTTACCTAGGAAAGTGTAATATATTGATAAATCCTATTGATATACAGTCACTAGCCACTTTATTAGGTACACCTTGCTGCTAGGTTGGACCCATTTTGCCTTCAGAGTTGCCTTAATTCTCTGTGGCGTACTTTCAACAAGATGTTGGAAACATTGTTTTAACAAGCAATTGAACAGGTGTACCTAATAAAGTGGCCGGTGAGTGTAAATATACAATATATTGATTTGCAAATACAATTTAAGATCAAATCTGTAAATGATTCATGCATGAGCCTCAATATTTCTCTGTCTATTATTCCAAAGTACTATTCATTGCTTGCAAACAAGATCCCCCATGAATAGTAGAGACACATGAGACTGAAGAGAAATGATTTACAGATTATACTTGAATATTTGAATATCACAGTACTACCTCTGTGACGCAAGCCACTAAAATTCAATTCTTTGACTCACCAAAGGATGATCCAGTGACAAATGTTGTGGTAATTTGCTGAAAAACACCTCTGTTGTGGACAGTGGAACTAGATTTTCGACAGTGGGTAGATGTGTAAAAACCTGTAACCGTTCATCAAAGCACAGTGGGCGTAACTGGGATTCCATTGATAGAGCCAATCTGATCATTTGACTTCCTAGTTGATGCCAAAAGTTCATACTTTGGCTAAATTAGTTCCATCCTTACAAATATCATAGCAAACAGAAAAAGGGAGGGAATTAGAACCAGGCAAATGCTTGAAAAGTACCTGGTAGATTTCAAACACAAATAAAGATTTACTATTGAGTGGCTGGTGAATTTGAATATTTATGTGTCAGTGGCTGGTGGTTGTATATAAGTTTATTTCCCACTAGAAAACCTGTTGTGTCTCATTAGGGTGAGATGAAGAGACAATATTGGTCTTTGTCTCTTATTGCAAAGGATTATTTATTGCTTGCAAACAAGAGCCTCCATGTATGTCGGGAGGGAGAGGCACATGAGATTGAAGAGAAATGATTTACATTGCAGATTATACTTACATATTGTTTGAATTTGAATGTCCCTGTTTGTTACAAACAGGTGGATGTTAATCATGAAATAGCACAAACCCTTATTACCCTTATTTAGAATGTATTATTATTATCTTTAATAAATATTGTGTTTTTTCCTCTCTCTCTGCTTCTGCAGTTGGAATTTCCTGGATGAGACCTTGGCCCTAGACTGTGGAAACATGTTAAGTGGAAACTGATGTTTTGTAGAACTAAGCACTTGCTTTGCCGTCTTTGCCTTTCTTTTTTGGTGTTTTCTGAGAATTCTCTCGCTGACTCTCTCAACATAATACATTCTAAAAAATAGTCACCATAGAGTGTCAGGAAACAGATTTCTGTTTTTAGGGTTCAAACCCCAAAGGTGTAGAACCTTATTGCTGCTTAACAAATTGAATTGAACCTGACCTTTTAGCAAAATTTTATTAATTTTGTTTGTTGATATTGTTTACTTATTAATAGTTAGCCTTAGTCTTTGCTGTTGTTTGCACAGTTAACACTGTTTTGTTGCATTGATTTAACTGACTTTATCCAAAGAAACTGAGATTTAGCACAAGTGTGGTGCTCAGGATAAGGTCAGTTTTACCCATATTTATTATATTATATTTATTATATTTATATTTAGACTGTACACTGTGCGTCATGTTGCACATACTGCCATAATTTATCCATTTATTGTTGTCTTGGGCACTGATGTTGTTTGCAGCAAATAATATGGCATTGTGGAACAATAGGTTTGGAAAACACAATTCTCATTCATGTTTCCTGTAATAAAAAAAACATTTTAATCTTTTAAAAATCTTTTTATTTTTGTGTTTACGCTTTATTTCATAGTGACAGTAGAGACAGACAGGAAAGGCAGGGGAGAGAGGCTGCATTAAGGACTCAGCCTTGATACACAGGTGAACTACCCAGGCGCCCCTGTTTACTGTAATGTTTAGGACATGAAGCGCATGTTTGGCAGTCTTTATTTGCAGGGTTACACAAATTTTGACACAAGTGAAATTTGAACCAGCTACACAATCTGCAGTCCAAATGTAAACTGCCCCACCACCACAATTCACTATTCAAACAATGCGGGGACTACACTGATTGTTGAATTTTTTTGCTACATTTTTAATTCTAATCCATTGGAAACCAAACAAAATATGACTTTTACTTTTAAAGTGATTATCAAGTCAAGAATGTGAATTTACCTGTAATTTATGTGAAGAAAAAAAAAATGATTGAACTGTTAAGAAACTAAAATAAGTGAATATTGTCTTAATGGTAGAAAAATAAATGTATGAACACCTCAATCATTTGGGTTATTACCAGTGTATCAGTGTGACTGGCAGTGTTCATTGAGCTTAAAGCAAGTAATCAATAGATCTAATATCACATTTGATTTATTGATTAATAAATTTAATTCATTAAATTAAAATTAAATTGTTAATTTTACAAAAGAATTTGTGTCTGCTACAGGATACATATCTGCTCTATAAATCACATGTCCTCCTTTGAGAAAGATAATTAACTGCTCAACTACAGCACATTAAAAAGCAAGTAAACAAAAACATGTTGACATTCATTCTGTCTACAAAAAAGGATAACTACATGTGACAACAGGGAGTCATTTTTTATTAGGGTGGCCCCAAAATGCATTTCTCACTGTGGAGATGGTTTGTAACGGTTGCACTTGTCTCCAGTTAGGTAACGGTCGCAGGTCAGAGTGTACTGGACTTCAAAGGCACCTCTCTTGTCCGAACAGGAGAATCTGTGTGTTCCCGGGCTCACAGGCCTTGCACATGATACCAGACGGTCATCATAGCGCAAGTCCTTGTCCCAGACCTCAATCTTCAAACTCAAGTGTGTGTCCACCTTTATGAAAAAATAAATATAATTTTACATTTAAATTACTATTACCCTTCAAATGTTGAGATAATTTTTGTCGATCATCCTGAGTAACAAGAACAACGGGCCTAATTCCTAAAATCTTTATACTCACAGAAATTATCTTGTACTTTTATTCTGAACCATTAATATATTCCTGTTAAAATGTTCATGTTCAAGAACAAAACGTACAGTGTGAGTGGGTGACAACTGGTCTATTCTTGCGAGGCACATCACTCCACTGCTCCCACTTACAATAACCCATCCATCCATTAAATCCAGTCTGACCAGTCACCAAAATGCTTTTTGTGTGTCTCTTGCTTATCCAGGGAGTTGTACTTCTGAACATGGCCACTATGGCCACTACACCAAAACTGTCTCACAGCCCAGCATTGTTATTAGGGGTTTGGTCAAGATGGTTTGCAACTGACCATTCACCAAGCACTGCCATCCTTACTGTTACTTCGCCTGTCAAGGTCTGTTCTCACTTGGCTTTAAACTGTATGTACTCTTGGTACATACAGATGGTAGAATGGTAACTCTAGTCTACAGCTTAGTACATCAGACCTTAGGTTTCTTTTAGGATTACTAATGTTTCTTTACAAATTTTTTTTAGGTGATCTGTAATGAGAAGATTTACTGACCATGCCCACATTATAACGAGCATTCCATGTGGGGTTGTTTGACCTGATCATATGAGTCTGGTGATTGAAGTAACCGTACTGTATCTTAACATAGCTGTGAATAGAAGAAAACAAGAGGTAAGAAAGAAGAAACAGATGAATTAATATTATTGTTTGATATAACACCTTCAGATCTCAGTCCATGACCTCGCTCTACTCACGCCTCAGTCAAGCCAGTTAGATCCCCTTTCAAAGCCCATGCTCTAATGGTGGTCACCACCAGTGTTCCCCTCCATGTCTGTTTAGGACAGCAGTTGGAAGCTTGGTTAGGAGTGTGGCTTCCACATTGTGGTTCACTGGGTGATTTCTTTACTGCGTTGTCTTCCAAGTACTGCTCTATGGCAGCCTTCATCCCTCTCTTCTGCATCTCACTAGGCACCAACATATACATTGGCCTAAGAGAGTATGAGACAATATCCGGCAGGTCCTTAAGGGTGTTCAGCCAATTCCTGTAGCCCAGGGAGTCATTATGAGTGAGAGAAAACTCCCCCAACCAACGACTGCCTCCTACCACCTCTGTGTGGTGTTGGTGGAGACCAGAGCTGTAAGAGAAAGAGACGTCCTGGTTCTGTAGGACTTTGTTGCAAGACTGCCGGTTGCTGGGTATTTTAATCTTTCCTAGTCCTACAGAGACACCCAGTGATAAGCAGGAGTGCACCTAGAGGACAAGAGGGGAAATTTATGTGCTATTTATAGTCACTGGATAATGGACAGCATTCAGATAGTTCCTTTATGCAATGAACAGTGAATGGTGCATTCAAGCGCCTCACATGCACGCACGCACAAACACACACATACAATCATACTCTGATCGTGGTGAAGACCTGCACATCAAGAAAGACGTGGTCTCCGTTTCTTCCTCAAAGACACTTTAACATGCTGTTAGGAGGAACCCTCAGGGTTAAACAGCTAAATACAGAAACATTAACATTTATACAAAGAATAGAAAGTTAAAACTATAGTAGTTTATGGGGTTTAGAAGGTAACAGCAACAAATGACTTACATGATATAATGTTTGTTCATTTGTGCTAAACTCAAAAATGTGTTTTCTTTCAAGGAACTATAACAACATTTGCACCTGTGCCTTTGTACACAGTCCAGACATGTGTGCTACATGTACCTCATTTGAAGAGAGCCCGTTCAGTGAGGACAAACAGGTGAGTGCAGCTGTGACTCGCCTGAGTCGCCCCCCAAGATAAACCTGAAATGAGGTACAATGTTGTGGAAACAAAAAATATCATTCTTCATTGTGTTTTTTATTTCCGCATAAGGAAGTTAAAATGGTGTGTGTGTGTGTGTGTGTTCTGACCTGTTGGATGTAGTGTGTGCCATAGGTCTGTATGAGCTCACTGTACTGAGCCCTGGTGGAGGAGTTGTAGTGACTTGGCAGTCTTGTCAAGTCCTTACTGAACTCAGAGCTGAGGGGTGGTCTGATTGACGCACGATAACTAGACGCAAAGAAACAGAATAGTAAATTATCTTATCTGAAATTATCTTAAACTTGACTGAATCTTCTGCTGTGATGCAAGGATCTTCAGATCCTACCGGTAATGTTTGCAAGTGACCCTGTGAGTGCTGAAGGAATAATGGTCCTCTCTGGTCCTTTCTGTAGCAAACTTATATGCATTGGAGCGTGTTCCTCCCACCTCCAGGTTGGCTGACACAAACTTTTCTAAGTTTAAGCCAACCTGATAAAATAAATTCAAAATAAAAGCATGAGCTGCTTTATAGTAACCCGAAATCACCATAATGAAGTGTATTAAATATAACCATTTATTTATAAAACCATATATACAGGTTATTGTTCTGTTAGAATTAACAATAATAATACACTGAACATTTTCGAGTGGCCTTATATTGTGGCCAGCCTAAGGCACACCTGTGCAATACCCATGCCGTCTGATCAGCATCTTGATATGCTACACCTGTGAGGTGGATGGATTATCTCGGCAAAGGAGAAGTGCTCACTAACACAGATTTTGACAGATTTGTAAATAGGCCTTTTGTGTACATAGAGTAAGTCTTAGATCTTTGAGTTCAGCTCATGACGAATGGGGGCAAAACAAAAGTGGTTCGTTTATAATTTTTTTCAGTGTAATAATAAACTTTATTTTCTACAGCACTTTTCAAATACAAAGTACTTTACCTGGTTGAACCAGGATAAAACATTCAAGGAGTGATGTAAATAAATCAGGAAGTTAACATTAAAATACATAAACTAAAACCCCCAACAAAAAAGATAAATACTACTAATAAACAGAATAAGACATGTTCATTTCATGTCAATAATAGCTGTGAAAAGTTTTCTACCTTCCAGTCCTCAATGTCCTGGGAGGTGTAAGTGTTGATCAGTGAGCTGTGGACACAAGTTACAGAAAAGAGTCACCATTTCAAAGATCATTTGGCAGATTTGTAACAATGTATTACAAATTGTTAGATTTTCAGCTGTAATATAAATTATAAATAAAGACAATTTAATATAAGGAATAAAATAGTTACATGAAAAAGCTCAAATGTTCCAGTTTATAATTTGGATACTTGTTTCACTGAGAATAACAGCTCCAAATGAACAAGACCTGTGACTCATCTGATGGACTTATTGATTAGGACCAGAAAATTCCCAAAGAACTTGAAATTCTAAAACCTACAGTCAAGAACCAGCAACACAAACAGGAGGATTGTCTTGGAGGAGAAAGGACAACAACCCCACAACGCATGAAACAGATAACAGATAGAGAAAAATAGAGAAATCACCCGACCAGAGCAAGACGTTCTGGCCAAAGGACTAAACTTTGCTATCACACCACAGCGCTTTCTAATGTGAAGGCAACCCCTTCTAGCCTCACCATCCAAGAAAAGAAGGCTGTCACATCACTGAACAAGGATCACAACATCACCATCCTACCTGCGTACAAAAGAAGATGTACGGTGGTCCTAAGCACAGCGGACTACCAGGACAAGGTCAACACACTACTACTAGACACACTGAGGTGAGACCCAACCAGTGGATACAAGAAAAAGATAGAATGTCTAAAACAGCTACAGAAAGAAAACACCATCACCCGTGAACAGTATTACCATTTGTATCCTGGAGAAACCATTCCATTGACTTTGTAAACAAAGTTCGAGGACTGAAACTGGACCCAGATGAAACCATGGTGTCTATGATGTGACTTCTTTGTTCACCTGCATCCCCACCATGGAGGCAGTAGAAACTGTAAGGAAACAGCTAGTACAAGACAACACCCTGGACAACAGAACCAGCCTCAGCCCTTACCAGATCTGTAAATTCCTCTGTCTAAACACCACCTATTTCCAGTACAATGCAGGACTCTACAGACAGAAGCATGGATGTGCCATGGGCACACCAGTATCCCCTATTGTGGCTGACATCTACACGGAAGAAGTGGAGAGCAAAACCCTCAACTCCTTCAGAGGAAAAGCACAGAGCCACTGGTACAGGTATGTGGATGACACTTGGGTCAAAATTAAAACCCAGGAAGTGCAAGCCTTCACAGAACACATCAATTCCGTGGACAGTAACATCAAGTTTACACATTGAAGAGGACAGGAGCCTGCAAATTGGGGTTTACAGGAAACACACACACGACAGAGCGGACAACATACCAACAAGTACTCAAGCCAGAGAGAAGAAACAGAACCTCCT